TTATGGAAGTTGATAATGTTGATTTCCTAAGACCTGTGAGTTCATTTTTCATAGGTTTTTACTTTTAATTTTCATGTCAACTTGATTCTTTCATATTTTTTGGTGCATTAGAAAAGTGATTCTTATGTTTATTTAGAATTCCACCAAAATCAGTGGGGTAAGAGCTGGGCACTCTTACCTAATTTTATTGAAATATGTTATTACAGGAGAGCATGCAAACGCTAATGAAAGAAAAAAAACTAGAGAACAAGGGAAAGGGAAAGAAAATACAACGCTTGTGAAAAGACATAGGCTAAAAACGAAGTTAGTGAACACGAAATAGCCACACAAGCGTTTCACTCCTCCCAATACACCCGCCGAAGCATACCATCTCCAAAAACAACCCGAGAGCTTGACTCTGCTCGAAAGTGATTATTATGTTCATGACATGTATAAAGCTCTCTTCTACAAATCCCCACGTAGGAGCTAGGCTTCACTTAACTATCTAACCAACTGGAAAATTATACACTAAAGTTTGTGCTTCTTTCTCCTTTGTTCAATTTAATTGTTTTTGCTAGGCTAAAAAGATCATCCATCAAAAGGGTCGACTGTGATCTTATTTGTTACGGAGTAGTTGATTATTCTATATTTGAAAAAATGAGAGTATTGTTACTTCTATAACTTGTGATGACCAAAGAGTGCCTAGTTCTATCCTCCATACTCCATCTAGCTGTCACTTCCCTCCCCCTCCACCAGCTGTTCAGCTCCCCTTGAGGGTTGACTTTCTTTCCCAGAAGATCTCCAAAAAAATGTCAACAGGAAGTCGCTGGAATTTTATTATCACTTTTTGGAATTCTGAAAAGTAGACATTGTTTTCTTTAGCTTTTATTATAGTCATAGTCATGCTATAACCGTATTATGTTTAACTTATATAAGATAAACAACTTGCTTCATGCATTATCTGGACAGTGTAATTTTTTCACATCTCAAATACTGGTTCTTGTATTTTTTAGAGGAAACCCACATTAAGTTATTACGTGTCAAACTTGGTTCTAATATCATAATAAGATCTCAGACTAGATCTTCAAAGTCATCCTCAAGATTAGGCTTAAATCTTATATGTTGGTTTATAATTACGTGGGACAAATTCTTCAACATGTCTGTTCTTGTAAATCCATTTGTGCCGACATGTTTGGGATAAAGACACTGCTTTATGTGTTTCAGGTTGATGTTGGAGACTTCTTGCGATTTAAATCATGTGTTCTGTACACTGAATATGAGCACACAGATCAGCCGCTGATTAATATTGAAGTTGTTGCCCATGTCACTCGACCAGAACTGAGATCTAGTGAGGTATATGCTACGTCCAGTAAACACACACACCCTAACAGAACGTCTCACCTAAGGTTGGGGTGTGGAAATGCTAGTGAAACAAAACAGGAAGGAAGACAGAATAATTTGGAATGAAAGAAAACATTGAGGGAAATAATATCATGGTTCAAAGTGAATATTTTTTTAATGTTTGAATGCTTTCATTTGTATTTGTTTATCTCTATACTATGAATACTAACCAATCAGTACATATGTAAAAATCTAGAAGTATTGATTGCATTTCATTTTCTGAGCTAAATCCAACTTTCTATAAATAATCTGCCTTGACATTTTATTTCTTTCCTATAGCATTTTCATGGATCCAAACATAGCCTAAGAGAAGTGACTGTATAATGCAGGTGTCGAATAAGTTCTACTTCACATTTACTGTCCGCCCAGAGGCTAAAGCTCGGAACAATCAATATATGGTCCGGAAGGTAGTCCCTGCCACAGAAGAGGAAGCACGGACCATCGTGGAGCGTATGGATGCAGATTTGTTACAGACCAACAAGTAACATCTGTTTTGCATTGGATAGTTGGCAGACAGTGAAGGGAGGATGATGTTTGTTTGCTTTTACTGTTTTTTTTTTATTCTCTTGGAAGTCTAAGTCTAAATTCTAACATATGATCAGTTTAGGACTTACTATTCTATAGGCACAAAAGGTATGTGAAACAAATGCATGCATTTCAATCTCCAAAAGAGATTCATATCTCCGTAAAGTCTTTGATTTTAGTATTTTTTTGAGTCTCTTTATGTGATCTGAAGTGTGAAGAGTAATCATTCGAGGGTCAAGGCTACAGTTATCCATTCATGTGTTGAACGTTGGGTTCCTTGCGACTGCTTATGCTTTGGGCATGTTCTAAACATCTCATGTGGTTTATCATCATTGTTGATGAATACTCGGTTATCATACAAGCACGTGCAAACATTTGATAAATCTTATACAAACAAATCTGAGCGGCTGATCCACAAGTGTGTGTGTGTGGTAGGGGGGGCATGGTATACCTCTGGTCCACTATGCCGTTCTTTTAAAATTAAGAACTTGTTCGGTGATCATGTTTTTCGGCTTATGAGATTTATCAGGCTTATCAGTCAACTTTTTCACCAAACACGTAACTTTTGATTTCGTGTGCTGAATTATGTAATAATAAGAGCAAGGTTTAAGGTTGTAGTTACTTTTCTGACTGTATTGACTGAAGTTATTGTAGATGATCATTTTAACTGTTTTCGTATTTTTTTTACTTTATTGATACAATATATTTTATTTTATTTTTTTCATAAATCAACAAAATCAATCAATCTAGTTACATCGGGCAGAACTTCATAAATATCAACAAAATCAACCTATATAACCGATTTGGATATTATCAAATGAAGTGAAAGTACAACAATTACTTTAAAATTAAAAGATAAAATTGTCTATTAAGTCCTCAAATTATTAGGGATTTTACACCATTTACTCATTGAAGAAAGTAACAGAACTATTTTACCTACCAAAAATGGTGTTTGTACCCACTCTTATACCCACTTTTGTACCCGCCTATGTTTGTGAAGTGTTCTGTTTTGTCTGTGAACCCCAGTTCACAGACAATATTTTGCATAAACAAAATATTGTCTGTGAATCGGGTTCACAGACAAAAAAAACACCTCACAAACATGGTGGGTATAAGAGTGGATACATCAAACATTGTTACTGCCTTATGTTGAATGGTGTTTTTGTAACGTCATCCGATTTAACTGTTCAGATATCAAATCTATAATAGTTTAAGCCAAGGGCTTATCTTTCCATTTCTCAAGACCTTACAGGTTGCAATGAGGAATGACCACATATGATAGAAGCATAGTGCAATTTTTTTGTTGAAATTAGTTTTCTACTTTACATTTAGCTAATCGCGCGTTTGGTAGTTTACACGTTAAATCTTTGTACGTGAAGTGATTGTATGCAAAGTATATGGAAACAATCATTTTGCATTTAAAATAGATTACATTGTTTGATTAGACGTGTAATTTATTTTTAAATTGCACGCAAAGTCATTGCAGTGCTTCATAAAAGACATTCATATTTTACCACCCTTCCCCCACGTAAAATACTTTACATGGTACAACACGAAATATTTTAAAAAAGTGCTCTACAGTTTACATTAAATAATCAAACCAAACAGTGTAAACATTTTAGGTCCTTACACTTCGCATGCAAGGGGGTGACACGATTATTAAGAAAAGTGAATTTGTGTGGTTGATATTAATTGATAAAGTAAGAATAAAGTAAGAATGAGTTAGAGCCACACAAACTTTACCAAATATGATATGTGACAATTTTAGTGGGACTTTTCGAAAAGGTAAAACATGACAACATTAGGGGACAGAGGGTGGATTTTACATCCTACCAAACGCTACTAACTTACTAAGTATGACTTTGTCCAATAAGATCGGATCACATGACGTGATTTATAATAGTAATATTATTATTATACTCAATAAGAGTAGCCATACATTTTGTTTTCCACTAGTAATCTCCCATTGAAAACTTTAATGATACCAGAGAATTCGATGGACATGATTATCATTACCAAATGACTCACATAGTCACATGCCCTACTTTGAGCGTAGTTATAATGTGTTTCTTTTTTCGAACTACACCTACCTACTCTCATTCAAAAAAGAATCTTACGATTCATGACCAGTTGCTCATTATAACAAATCAATTCCAAATCACATTTAAATTCAACTTTTACGGTTTAAGTAAACTTTTGGTTCAGTTTTTTAAAATTGAAATAAAAAATAAATTTGGTCAAACATCTTATATGCGTGTGACACCTTTTAGGAGTATCAATTAAAGTATTTATTTACGTAAAAATAATTACTTAGAATTTTTAAGAATATAGAAATACCATCTCAAGAGATGATGGGAGTAAGTCAGACAAAATTACCTCCTCTAGATGGAGAGCGAGGTAATTCCATAATTTTCTTTAACATTTACTCATTTGGTAAGACAAAAATCACAACATGTACCGCAAAAAAAATCACAAAATGCACACACATCAAAATATATAGAAATGCTCATTTTGTATGTGACAAATGTTCATTCATCATTACCATATAAGAATAGGAATAAGAATTGCAAAATTAGGTGCATATTGTTTTGCGCTTAGCTCGATGGTTGATGATCTTAGATATTTGTCACCACCTACAGAAAATGTAATCTTACTTGAGAACTCTTAATAACCATTTTACCACATTCTTGGATGATTTTTTTTGTTAAATGCGGAGTAATTTGTTAAATGCTAATTATACACTGCGAGTCTATGACTTAGAGACAGCCTTTTACACTATTTTACACCTACCAAAAATTTTTGTTTTCCCAACACACAAACTTATCTTCGAGAACAATTTATCCGTGCACAAAATCTGTATGGATTGAAAAGGCAGTCAAGATGGATTATCCATTTCCTTCCTGTGCAACATCTGAAACTGAGGGCAGGCTGGCAGGACCCTACACTGCAGGGTACCATTATCTTAGATTGTAGGTGCATATCTTAAACTATTATGATTGCATCTTTCATATCTCAATCAGTGGTACCAAGTTTGTCTGACTTCACAGCAAAAGATACCGCAATTATTAGCGTGTATTCACAACATGACAAAACTTCTCCCCCAAAGTGCTGTTTTCATTTTCATGGCAAGAAAATAAGCTACGTATACATCTGCCTCTAATCCACCGCCGACCAAAATCGTTTACATTTTATATGCTTCAAAAAACAGAAAAAATAATGTACATACATAAAATTAACGAGAAATGCTATAACTACGCCTCCTTGTACACCAGACATAAAGTAAATCTTATTTGTGCCTATTATCTGTGCTTATAAAGTAAGTTGTATACTTGTATATTATCTGGGTAGAGAAAGGGTTAGAAAGAGGTTTAGGAAATAGTTATACTACCTCAAATTTACCTAAATCACTTCATTTGTGCTTATTATACACTTGAAGTAAATTTGAGATAAGTTCACTTTTTTCTGATCTCTTTCCTAACTCTCGAGGCACAAAATCATTACCCAAATTCTATCTGTGCATATTTGGTGTAGAAGTGGTATACCTAAAGCATTTCTCCAAATTGCTACCTACTTTCATGGCTGTCTCCCTGGCTGCAGCATGGGATTAACTGGAACTGGAAATTGCATGGGATTAACTGGAACCGGGAACCTGTGAGCAGAACCGGTGATAGTTCGCTCGTTTACCGCTCCAACTTCTTTACAGACACGTTCAAGTATTACCAAAAAGTCCCTCACCACCATGAAAATCCTGAAAGGGTGAGCTTCTTCTCTGGCCGAATTCCCATGGAAGTACTCGGTGATCTCCTTCACTAGAGACATCGCTACACTTTCTAAGGCTTGGAGCTTCACAATCTCTTCCTCCGCCATTTTCGTAAACCTCTTCATCGATTCGGAGAACTTTTGGCTGTCACTTTTGTCCAACCGTTCAACCACCTCTGTGATGTTCTCGATCCCTTTGGATAGCTTTAATACCTCACTGTGGAGGACGTCTGAATCCATGGTGGCAGCTTTCTTCACATTTGTTAGCTCTGATGAACACAGATTGGAGAGACGAACACCTTCACTTCTTATGATCTCTTGAACGACAAAATGTAAGAGAGTCGTTTTCCCATCCGTTCCCTTGACATCTACTAGCTTCAACAGGGTGTCGAGTTTGAAGGCATGTGCATCTCCGCGATTGGTCCCCACATTCATTCGGTTCCCAGTCTTCAAGACAGCTTCCAAAAGCTTGAAGAACATTCTGCTGCCCCTTAACTCTTCACATGCAGCCTGACAATTAGAAAATAACTAACAATGAGAAGATTTAAACAAAGGATATTTAAAAAGAAAGAGTTTCTACGTTTTGCCCAATTAGTCTCTCCACTATACTACCCTACACCTCCATCCCAAGTCCCAAATGATCTTTCTGTTCATTTTCTTTGCGGCCAAATAAAACTTCTTAGGTCTGTGACAAGTTTGTCAAACTTCCATCGTATTCAAATCTGGTTTCACGATTCAATAGAATTTTAAGTGTGGTTTATAAATTTACAAACTTCATATATTAATACTGATTTGAATATTATCATGGAGGAATTATATTTTTTATCACTGAATTATCGTAAGCTGAGCAGGAAAATCTTTTTGGTATGGAAGGAGTATTACACTATCAGATCCTAAAGTCTTAAGGTCTAGTGATCATTTGGTTTCTAACCACAAAGGGTATTGGAGTCTCTTCATTAAAAATAGCCCTACTTTTAATCAACTACAGTGAAATAGACTCAAGGACTAAATTGAGTCTTAATTGCAAATTGAGGATTACATTGGGCCGTAAACATAATTGACAACCAAAATGATTCCTAAAAAATAATCGATGACCAAATCAAGTAATGGTGTATATCCAGGACTAAATCAAGTATAAACTCTAAAAAGGGATGATAAATAGTTGTCCATTAAGTACTGACCTCAAGTGTTTGGAAGGACTTTTGTAGGTAATCAGTTTCAGATTCGAAATTGGAAATATAGAGCATTGCATCAACTCTTTTGAATGCGAAAGGTATATCAATCACTGTCTTCAAAAATTTCTCTGCTGGTCCAAGCTTGAATGGTGAATCATCTTTATAAGCTAAAAGCTTACGCTCCTCTTCTTTAGTTGGAGCCATCTTCATTAAACTCTCTAGAAGCTCAGTACCAAGGGTATCTGCATTTCCTGAAAAAAATAACCTAACTCATTAATAAGACTGAAATCTAGATGTATGGATTTAACCAAATTAAATTCCCATATATGTTTATAAAACATAGATACTAATTGGAAATACGGCCTGTGAGGGTCATTTGAGCTTGATATTATATCCTAAAAAATCAATCTGATTAAATTAATTCAAGACATTATGTTTGTTACTATATTATCCTGCAAAATAGTACGGAGTAGCTGATTAGAGCAAACTAATCTTGAACATTATACTCTTTTGAGTTTTAGTCGGATCAATTGTTCTTAAAGTTGTGTATAAAACAAGCATTGATTTTATCAAAAAGTCTACTTGAGTTACAGTTCAATCATCAATGAGGTCATTAATATTTCTGCTGCAATCTTAAAAGAACATAAGTAGAATGAAGAGAAATTCAAGTTCAAATACTTTAAAGCAAATTTGATGTCATAAGTGTTACCTATTGATATCTATTTGACATAAAAGGAAACACATTAAACTTATATACCTTCTAAAAGAGCATCACATACTTCCTCAGTGGTGACATTTAAGGCCCTAAGCAAAATCGCTATGTTCTGTGATTTCTTTGGATCGAGAACTCTATTCTCTTGGTTTGATGAGAGTAAAGTTGAATGCCGAACTGCTTCTTTTGGATATTTTGTACTAGGAGTATTTACAACAAATAAGGACTCTATCATCTCTTCATTTAACCTGCAAATGTCCAATTCAGTATATCACTTCTTTAATAATGAAACAAAAGTCCCATAATTACTAGAAAGATGTGTAGTGTATCTATTATATCATACTCGAATGAGCTCGACTTTAATTGATCCCAAACCATTTCCCGATCAGAGCTTGCTCTGACTTTATCCCAATGCAATGTCTTCAGTTTCGGCTTTGGTGTCTCGCCATTTTTCTCAGGCGAAGAACTTTCATCCATATCTAAATTCCTCTCAACAGGCTTTGCTGAAGGAGAAGGCAACTGGATTGGAGAAATTGATATCAGGCTCTCCATAGATATTGGCCTTAAAGAACTTACCAAGACGGGAGGTTCAGATACAGGGTTTTTAGGTTTAGGGTTAGCAGTTACTGGATTCTCCCACTGTTTTCTGGGCGGGGGAGGTGGAGGAGGTGGCCAAGAAGGAATAGTAATATTGTTGCCTTTTCTAATAGGAGACTCCATAACTAGGTTATTGCTTGGTCTGGGAGAAGAATTTTGAATAGCTAAGCTGCTGATAGACTCCATGACTGCTTCAACGGGTGTCATATAAGGTTCATGGCTAGAAGCGGAGATTCTCACAGGAGACTCCTGAGATGGTATGTTGATTCTCGATGGAGATTCAATAACGGTGCTACTCATTCTCGCCGGAGATGGAGAGTCTGGTACGGGGCTGTTCACTTTTGGAGGAAAATCAAAAACAGGACCGCCTGTTCTCGTAGGCGAATGTGGAATTGGGGAATCTATGTTCAGTTCCCAAACGTGAGATGATGTTGGAGACGAGGAGCATGAGCTTCTTCTGCAATCTCTCTCCGGCGAAGTTGAACCGGCAGGAGACGGTGACTGAGTTTCTCTCCGACTCACCGATGGTTCACCAAAAATCGGTGTCTCCGAAGGTGGAGGTGCAAAGCCGGTTTGAAAAGCAATCAATTCAGGCGACTTTGGGGTTGAGCCTTTTGGGCTCAAACCTACCGGTGGCGAAATGCTCAGAGACAAGGATCTCTCCGGTGAGCCCGAGCGTGAACTGGATGAAGACGAGGAAGATGAATAGTTGAAGCCACCGAACTTTTGAACTTCTATGGCGGCTGAGGCGAAAGCCCTTCTGGAAGCAGATCCAGTTCCGATTGAACTCTCTCTACCGACGCCCAAAGACCCTCTGGGGGAGTAGAATTCCTCATCACCTTCGTCCCTAAACGACCCAGCTTCACCATTCTCTTGATTATGCCTAAGGCTTCGCCCAATAAGAGGCGGCAGCGGCTGAAGCTCCGGCGAGTCACATTTTCTCGAAGTCGCAGCGCTGGTGGTGGTGCTGCTCGGCGAGTATTGCGGATTGTGCAATTCAATGGCTCCTTGGGAATTCACCATAGTCCCCAGGTACAGAAACTCCGAGCTGCGCTGAGATGGCCTCGAAAGCTTCTGGAGATTAGTCAGATTACCACCGCTGGGATTATTACTTCCATTATCGAACGGAGTACTGGTAATGGATCTCTCTGGTTTGGACTCACTGGAAGAAGGCTTCCGTATCTTCAGCAGATGCAAGGCAACTGCAATGGAGACTACTACCACGGCTGCAATAACGCAACCGACGGCGGCGGCAACGAGCTTCGAGGCCTTCCTGGGTCTCAAGGCATGCGGGGCATCAGTAGAGGTGAGATTTGCCGGAATGGAAGAGATAGGCGCCGGAGAAGCCGGCGGGGGAGGGGTAGAGACTTCCGGAAAGAAAGGGATATTGTTCTGCGCAGAAGGGGAGAAGGGTAAATCCGGAGCGGCAGGGGCGGGAGGCGGATGAACGGGTGGCGAAGAAGAAGGAAGCGAATCTATGGGAACAAATGGTTGATGAAGAATGCGACGACCCTCAAAGGAGACGGAGGCAGAGAAGCAGAAGAACAGGGGAAGAAGATGGAAGAGATAGGCGGTGGAGGGCATTGTGGCGCCGCCGCCGCGGCTGCCGTGTATGGAAGGAGAAATCGGAGAGAAGTGGAAATGATGATTATGGAGCGAAAAGCCGGTAATCCGGTTCAGAAAAGAGAGTCAGTCAGAGGAAGAAAAGGAAGTAGAGATCTGTTTCTTCATTAAGAGAGAAAGAGGGAGAGAGAAAGGTGTTCAGAGATAAAGTGAAGTGAGGAGAAAAAGGTGTTCAGAGCAGCAAGCTGCAGGGTACAAAAATCAATGCACTGAATGCAATACTCCGTAATTATCACGTTAATCTGACAAAAGTACTCCCATCTCACACAATTTACACTTCCTCAAAACTTCCTACTTGAGAGTTACCCGTGGGCGTAGCTCAATGGGTAACGAGGGTTGAATCACGGTAACTGCGATGAGGGGTTATTATGCTGAAAAATGCATAGGGCTTCTGCAAGTATCGAAGACAGAGCCCAATTTACATCCTCCCATCGTGCCGTCCGATCGGTTGTTGGGGGCCCTGAGGGATGGGGTGTCATCCTTCCTACTTGAGAATTGAGAGACTTCAAGCATTTTTTTTTTATGGAAGAGACTTCAAGCATTAACTTCTCAAAACATTTTTTGGTCATTAAAATAGGTGACTTAAATTTAAATGACATAGGGAGCAAAATGACAATACAACCACATGCAACTATCAGCATTCAAACCAACCTTAGAGTTTAGTAATATTTTGAAATCAATCATCTTCAAAAAGCAATATAACTCGATGATCCTATAATGAGAATACATGAGTCAACGACGGTTAAAGCAGACCTTTCATCACCTATTTTATTGTAAGAGTCTTACAACAATAAAAGTAACCAATAGAAAAATAAACAATCCGATCATGACAAATAAATAGCAAGCAAATACTAAAATTAAAATGATGTTTTCGAACCCTAAACTCTCATGCACTTCATGGCGGCGATTCAGGATGGGGATGGTCCAGCATTACTCTACTTCTTCTGCTCCTTGCCTCCGTCCAGATCTTTTCCAGCCCCTATCCTCACGGTTCGTCCATGACCTTCTGATCTCAACTATGAACGACATCCTCGAAATTCTTCAACCGCTACTAGGTTGCATAACCTTTGTTGCCATATAGGCGTTGCGGTCTGCGAAAAAATAGAGCCTTACAAAAGGCGGACGAAAGCCGCACTTCGTCGAAGACGAAAGCGAGAAAAAAAAAAGTAACCCTAGGGGAGACAACCGCCTAGAGTGAGAAGCTCCTCCAAAAAATTTCAAAATGCTCTTTTTTATAAATGGAAAAATAGTTCTGTTGGGTTAAGGGCCCAAGCCGAGGTCCGGCCCACTAACCCATTTCGCCAGACGAGCGTCCAGCTAGAAACTAGGTCAGCCCACAGGCCCATGTTCTTTAAGGATGGACGAACGTCTGGTGTTGGAGGACTCAGGCCCAGCGGCTCCTTCCGACGAGCGTCTATGCAGGGGCAAGGAGCAGAGCCACGGGCCACCAGGGATGGCGACGTACGTCCCCAGAGCAAGCCTGTAGTCATCGGAGAAAACCCAGTGCACATGGTGAGTATCTATCAAGGCCAGGAGACGAACAGCCAATATCCCTCAAGGGTCACTTGGAGCAATCCAACTCACTTCCCGGGTGGACGAACGTCCCCACTGATCCGGCGGGAAACCCAGATTCTGGCGGGAAGTGCATTTAATGCTGAAGATTTGGTAGTTGGGACACCAGCGGTCCACAGGCTGCCACGTCAGTACAGCCACCTGCCCATTGGCGGGTATAAATAGAAGCATTTATTTCATTGTAAAGGTTTGGCAACTTTCTATTCTTAGCATATTAGCTTCAGCATTCTTACTTGCAGCCTTTCTAAGTGCCTTGTAAGACGAACGGCCGACGTGCCTTATTAGCAAGTAGATTGTATTTAGGGGAATTATTACGAAGTTAATAATACCTACTTACATTGCCTGCCATCACTTTTGTTTTCTGATCCATCTCATCGTTGTTAGGCTAGATATCCTTATACTTACTCCATTCGAAATCTTTGGGCTTACGTGTTGGGTCCAAGGGTTGAAGGAATAAACCTCAACACTGGCGCCGTCTGTGGGAAGTAGAGCCCGGCTTTGTCCAAAGTGCTCTGACCACACTCCAGAAGGTCTTCGGGTGCCTCCTGAGCAGCGAAGTCCTGGGGGACCTTGAGATTCAGGCCGCACCATATAGAGGATGCTGTTTGACCAAAGAGCATCATTGACTCCTTGCGTGGACCAACCCCGGAGAATTCAATCAAACCAAGGGAGGACCCATTGGCTTGTGGGGGCGAAGGAGGACGAGCATCGTCAAAACCCTTAGCGACCTGGGCATCATCATCCCGGAGACGACGAACATCAGAAGTTCGTGGGGGAGAAGGACGGGACTTGCCCCGAGAGGCAGGCTTCCGCTTAAGGGGGCTCCCGGGCTCACCATCAGAGTCGTCGGCTACTATGATGGCCTTGGAGGCTGTACCCTCGACGCGCGGCCTCTTGGAGACGCCGGCGCCCAAATCATCCTCAGTCCGGGCCCTGATCACCCGAGTTTCAACCTTGGGGACGAGCGGCTTCCCGGGCTTGTCATGCCCCTTGTGCCCACGACCGGCGGCAGACGGAGCGGTATTATCTCGGCGCATGATGAACGTGGGTGGAAAAACTCCTGCATAGAGGGGATCAAGACGTTCAGAACCATAACAGCGAAGAGAGGTTAAAACAATACAAGTACAAACGGACGCACCTAATCCAGCCTGAGCTTTGAAGGGCTCGGCCACCAGCAACCGGAGGTTCTGGATGCCAAGTCCGGCTATGCGCTTGGCATATCCAAGCTCCTCGTCCGTCATGGGCGGCGGGATCGTCTTCACAGGGTAGGCATTCCACCGATCAGAGAATGGCATCGGTGAGCCTACTCCGGCCAGGAAGAAGCGCTCTTCCCAACCGTCTGGGTTCCCAGCGTTGTTCGAGAACAGAACCATGGACGGACGGGCAGTCAGGGCCAAATACCCTGTACGTCCGAAGGTGGACAGACGAAAGAAGTGGTGCAGCAGGTCCACGGTGGGGGTCACACCGACGCTGTGGCATCTAATGATGAAGCCAGCGATTATCCGATGAGCGGCGGGGACGAGCTGCGCAGGAACAATCTCAAGGGCCCTGAAAAGTTCCAAGTGGAAGCTGTGCAGGGGGAAGTTCAGCCCGGCTATCACCGAATCTAGGTGGACCACCACATAGCCGGGCAGGTGGCGCATGGGGTTTCGTAGACGCCGATCGTCGTAGGTCCTTGGGGGATAAAACCATTGGCTGATCAGTCGCCTGTCAGCGTTCGTCAGGCGTTGAACTTGACGCCGGACGCATGAGAAGTTAAGGCTATAACGGGGAGGCCAGGGTGGCATTCCCCGCTCATAATACTCCAGGTCATCACCGGAAGAACACCCATCATCAAAGCGACTTTCGGAAGACATAACAACGAGCGGTACCTTGGGGTTCGAGATTTCCGATACGATCAAAGAGAAGTCTAGAGAGAGAAGGCAATTGTGCAGCGTAAGGAGAAATGTGAGTGGATCACTTGGATCCTGAGTATTTATAAGCAACACCGCGGAATTGCCCCAACCGAAGCAGGACACGTGGCGCCTGGGTACCGGTACCTACCACGGTATTTAAGGCGTCTCGATTTTATCACCGCATAACCAACACAAGGACATCCGGGTCCGTACCACGAACGTCCCTTGAGGAGGGCTCACCGGCTCGGAGGAATTTGAAGACATTCGCCTTCCCTTGCTTCCTTAACTCCCCGGCTGACCCTAGCGTCGGCGGCCGATGAGGGCACACGCACTAACTGGCGACGTCCCTCTTGCAGTACACCAGTTTTTCATGTCACACAATGTGGACGAACGTCGTCACCAAGCGCTGTTCCAGGGAAATGCGCCCATATGTCCATACTCAAAACGCGTACTGACAAGGCAATTACCGACGAACGTCTTCCCACTGTCAAGATACCGCGTGGGCGGTAAAGATGCGTCGAGACGCCGGAAGGATTCCTTATACTACAGACGATGGGCACAAAAAGGGTGAAGTGAAAATCACGTCCATGAAGGGTGCACGGAGGACGAACGTCGCCTTTCCACACTTCGTGCCTGATGAAAACGCAGGACAGGCGGACACCCTTGTGCGGGGCTTTAGCGTTCATACCACGCGACGATAGAAGAACGTCGTTAGCAAGCACTGAGGCAATCTCCGATGTGCGTATGACCACACTTGCAAAGCGTGCTGTTTGGCCAACCCCCGACGAGCGTCGTCTTGCCATCGGAATGAGGTTGCAGGAGGGGCAGCCAGTATCGGCGCCGGGTGTCGCCGTCCGGAGACGGACCTTAACACTGGCGCCACGCGCTAAATATGTACAGGGCTTTGGCAGAGGGACGCCCCTGCCCCCAAGCCAAGTGGGGAACAGAGATGAACGTCCACGCAGTCTAGGCGACAGAGAATGTCCCCAGAGCAAAGAGGGAGTTTCCATACAACAAAGGACAAAAGGAAGAAAGGTAACAAGCAGAGATCATGAACATGGAACAATTATGGGCAAAAGGATGTATATTCCTCGGCTCTAACGGCCGGATATTACAGAAGTTAGAATAGGAAAATACAGTTTACATTACACAAAGAAAGGGGATCCTGGCCGGCTGCCTCCCGGAGTCTGCTCTTCCTCCTCGGCCTCGGGCTCAGGGGTGGGGGGTTCCGGAACCTCCCCTCTGGCCTTTGCTTCCGCCCGCCGTTGGTCCCTCGCTAGCTTCCCTAAAGCCTGGAGCAGCAGATCGTCGTCTGTATGCGCTGCCAGCTCGAAGTCGGCCCCTTGCAGCCTCGAAAAGATGGGGAGGGTGGCCTTAACCCCTTCGTTATACCCGGCTGAGAAAGTGCTGTCGCCAACCTCGTACAGGAACTTGCGGGACAGAGGAGAACCCTCAAGTAGCCGGACGCCGCGGGCCAGACGCTGGCGGGGCGGTATCTTCTCCAGAGCCGCGGCAAACAAGTCGGCGAAGACTCCGGCACAATAGTCTTTGGCAGAGTCCATGAACTCCCCAGTGTTCCTGTAGCCGGAGGTGTCGACCAACCACTCCGGAGTGGTGTCCTTGGCGGCAGGAAGCACCGGAACAAGCTTGAAACCGGCTCTTTCAAGGCCGGCCAACTGGCTGCGGGATTCAGCCTGCAGGGCTGCAATCTCCCTCCCCTTGGCTGCAGCCTCCGCCTCAGATCGACGGGCGGCCTCCCGAGCCGCAGCAATGGCC